TGAGGCTTTATTTTATCAGGGTACATAGTTTCATTGTTCTGCACAAGACACCAATCATTAATAGCAATTTCTGGAAATTGTGGAATTATTTCCGGAGCCTGCATGTCATTAATATAGTTTATTTGAAAATCAGATGACTTAAGTTACTTGTTTTAAAAAATGATAAGTATCCATTTGACATAATGATTATTTCGTATTTTGTATTTTTTGACTTCTAACCATAGTTTTTTGTTGTCTATTTTACTAATATTTTTAATATTGCTAATATAGAGAATATTAGTAGCTATCATTAATGGTTTAAGAACATTGAAAAAATCCATAGATGTTTTTACACACACTTTCTTATTCTTGCTCATACATTTCATTCAAACAAGAGACTTGGGTCTTCTTCTAACACCATCTACATTTCCTTTTCCATGGGAAGTTGCAGAATATTTCCACTCAAACATGTTATTATATTGCAAAGTTAGGTGGTTGAGTAATTTCATCATGAATTTCTTTTAAATTCTGATGATTGGTCATCAGTGAAAAGAGTTTCAGTATCATTATCACAGTTTTCAGACATAAATAACTCATAAATTTTTAATAATATTTACTGCTTTAATGGAAAAATTAAAGCAGTAAATACTATCCTTGTCTCTAATGTCTGAACAGATATGATATGTTTTGCAATTACTGTTGTTGAAAACAGCACCATTAAACAATTAAACAGTGTTCCTACTCCACAGTGCACTTTGTAGTTCGTTTTGATATTTGCAAATATATACCATTGCAAAATCCACCTGAAGAATTCTTTTTTTTGCAATCCCCTTGTCTTTTCAAATTCAGCTGCTTGAACTTTTTTTATATGAACATGTTCCTGAAATTTGGATAAGGTAGATAGTAATTCCTGTGTTACTTTATCGTCATTTTTTGATTGTAATTGAAGATGTCCAGAGTCCTCCTTGGTCCATTGCTGCCAAATGATCTGCTTTGTTGGATTTAAATATTTAAGGGATTTTTCACTTTGTTTTTGCAATGCCAGGAGCTATTCTAGGAAAATAATGAGGGTGACGGTACCCCCCATCCTGGAGAAATTTAGTTGAAATATTACTAAATTTAAGCGCGAAAAAAACAATAGCCTTTTAAAAAAAAAGTCTTTAATTTTTAATTTGGGCAAATTGGGGCCTAAATACGGTTGGCATTGTCGAAAATGGTCTAGAATAGCCCCTGAATGTCGACAGTCTTTAAGCCAACAAGATGAATTAAGTGACTGACCAATAGAGGATGCCTTATGTTTTAAGTAATAAGCAAAAGTTCTCATGCAGTTTGCACTTACACTGGTCTTTTTTTTTTGTTTTTTTGTTTATTACAATATTTATGATACAGATACAAATAATATAAAAAAAAGAAAAATTAACAAGTCAAGATATCGTTACAAAATAAAGTATAAAAATAAATATAAAGAACGTGGATACTCAAAGAAGACCATCAGGTCTTGTCACAGAGAAACTGCTATTGAAGAAATTAGGTTTTTTTTTTATTTATTTTTATTGGTTTTTTTCTTTTGTTATGGTGTTTATGGCTTGCATCAATCAAATTACTGTGTCTTCCGAACAGCTGACTCGTGCAAATAATAATGTTCATAATTTTCTAAATAAATCTCTTGCACACATTGAATCTAATTTGTCGAAAATCATCACTGAGTCTTATTAATCGCTATATATTATTCACTATATATCACTGCATATAATCAATGTAATCACATTTCCAGACTGAATATAGTACATTTCCAGATTGTTCAAAAGGTTGTGCAAAAGGACCCAGATATGATGGTTATCACTGTGTGGTTTGCAGGTGTTAATTCTAAAAGAAATACATTTTTTAGCCTTAGCTTATAATATGTAGAAAAATGTATTACCTCTCCATAGTTTAATTGAGAAATAGAGTGAGCCTCTCTCAAAAACATTGTCAAAAAATATTTTCTCAACTTTTTTTCTTTTTATTTTCTCACACTGTTATTTCAGCTTTTCAATATCTCAGCTCCAGACATTATTTTCATGGTATGTTAACCTAAATTTAAGACTGGAAACTATTTAAGTTTACAAAGTCCTTAAAATCAAATATTAGATAATGAATTATTTAATTGCATCTTTTCAAGCAAATTCAAATTGAAAATAAATTTTAAAATACCACTGTGTAGTTGTTTTCTTGTTGGTTTTAGTAAAGAAAATTGAGATTAATATTTAAAAAAGTAAATTATATTAATACTATATTCATGTTAAAGGCACTTATATACAAAAATCAACAATTTATTTTCTAATTATTTGAATTTTAATATCTGTGTGTAATGTTACACATATAAGATTAACTATAAAACTAAGTTATATGTGTGGCCAAACTTTTTAATTTTTTTTAAGTAAATTACTGCATAATCATAATTTTTTTTTCTATTTTGTTTCTTCAATACTTTTTACTTATAACTAAAAAATATTTAAAAAATGTATTCTACTTAGCTCACAATTAAAACATTTCATTGTTTTTTGTTACAAATGTGACATCACAAAAGGGTATTTACTGAATTGTTACATATGTGACATCACAAAGGGTATTTACTGTAATATATATATATATATATATATATATATATATATATATATATATATATATATATATATATATGTATATATATATATATATATATATATATATATATATATATATATATATATATATATATATATATAATATATATATATTTTTTCAAAACTAGATTTTTTTTGTTTAAATTATATTAAAATAGTTATAAAAATGCTTTAATGTAATTAACACAATATTAAATATTTATGATAAATGAAAAATAACATACTAATATTAAAAATTTAAAAGTTTCAAATTTTATTTACTGTAGAAATTAATATCAATATTTTTCTATACAATTTACAAAAACTTTAAAATTTATTTTTAAATGCAAATTTAGTTTTTTGTAAAAATAGGCAATAAGATCATAAAAAAAAAGTGTGTTTGAAATATTAGCTCTCTGATTTCACTAATTTGAAAATCGCCCAAATATAGTATAGTAAAAAATTAAATAATTGGTAGCATTGTTGTTTAACAGCATTGTTGTTATTTTTTGTTGTTGTTATTATTATTACTATTATTGTTGTTAATGTTACTAATGCTATTGTTGTTATGCTGTTGTTGTTGTTTCTGTTGTTGTTGTTTTTGTTGTTGTTTTTTGTTGTTGTTGTTGTTGTTGTTGTTGTTGTTGTTGTTTTTATTGTTGTTGCTATTGTTGTTGTTTTTGTTGTTATTACATGATTAATTACTTAAAAATGATAACGCATTAGCCTAATAAGTATTTGAAATTGTGATTAAACCAGTCAATGAAGTATTTATAGCATTTTAAAATGCTTAAATAGTTGAGTTGACTAAAAAATGAGAAAATTTAGGCATTAAAAAAGTGCTAAAGAGTGGTTTGCCTAGTACCTTTTTTTGCTAATGTAAAATGGTTGCCTACTTATTTTTTTATATTTTACTGTTGTAACAGTATTTGAAAATCAACGTCTTTTGTTTGAAAATTATATCTTTTTTTATATTAAAAAAATAGTTTAATGCAAAAATTAAGTAAAAATTATAACACAGTATATTACTATTATTTAATTATAAACTTTTTACCACTTGTTCTTCCCAATTAATTGCAATTTGACCTCATATTAAATAGATCATCATCTATAAACTTTATTTTTAAATTTTTAAATTAATAGTTCAAATTTTATACCTTAAGGTGAAAATTTCTCAACTATGAATCAAACCAGTGTCTGTAATTTTTTTTCTTAAATAACTCTCTATATTGCCTGAATATTGCCTTACAATAGTTTTATGTTGAACTTAATTTTTAATTATTATTTATAATTATTTGTTTTATTAGTTTTATTTTTATTTTAGATTATTGTTCTAAGACTTATATTTAAAGTTGGTTTGTAAACATTTTGAAATTTTCACGTTTTCTGATAATATTTCAACTTTCTAATATTTTTTGTTCTATCATATACTGTAATTTATTTGATGCAAATCAATAAAGTAAATATTAGACTAATAAAATAAACTTTTTATTTTTCTATTAAGTGGAAACAGTTGAATAAACAAGCATTGAATAAATATTTGAAAATTACTTTTCTTGAAAAATTTTCAAAATGATTTGTTATGCATTGAAAGTTCTTGAATATATATTAAGATTATAAAGCAAATAAAAAAAAAATATATAAAAATTAACACATAATAAAAAAAGAAATTTTTGAATCCTTGGTTTTTAAAAAATATTTTCTGTTCTACAGCAATTTATTTTGTTGATATTTTAATAAGATATGTTAGTAAGATATATTTAAACTTGTC